TACTACTACTACTACTACTACTACGACTACTACTACTACTACTACTACTACTACTACTACTACTACTACTACTACTAATACTACCACTACTACTACTACTACTACTACTACTACTACTACTACTACTACTACTACTACTACTACTACTACTACTGCTACTGCTAGTACTAGTACTGCTATAGTTACTACTACTACTACTGCTGCTGCTGCTGCTGCTGTTGCTGCTACGAAGAGTACCTCGACGGTGACTAGTATTTGTTGTGTTACAAAGATGGGTCGTGATTCTAGCAAAAGTGATACTGATAATTGTGCCTACAGCAGTACGGGTGATATGGGCACAATGCATACCAATACTTAGGATGGTGCTGATGCTGACGATGTACATGTTGACGTTTTCAATGATGCTGATGTGGATGGTTGTGGTTGATGGTGATGATGACGACGGTGGTGCTGGTGATGGTCATGGTGATGGTGATGACGATGCGTGATGGTGGTGATGATCATGATACGCACTCGGCGCGAACAACGCCTCATAATATGTGCACCTTTTTTCTTGGAACTTCCCGCTGTGTGAGAGAGGGAGAGAGAGAGAGAGAGAGAGACTCATCATTACGCAATGTCGACTAAGCGGTCCCTGGCGGTTTTCGTTTGGAGCGCCCAAGTACTATGCCTGCTAAATTTCCTTGGTGCTGAGGTTTGCCAGGGAGAGGAGCGGATGAGCCAAACAGGCGCCTTGCTCAAGCCGTGCCCAACATCTGGGCGCGAACGGGCAGGTGTCATACCTTTTGGCGGCGTGTTAATGCGATTCCCGCAGCGTCGCGGTGATCATGGGGTTCTGCAGAGATAGGAGGCGGAGGTTCAACACAAGTGTATCGCTCGAGACATCCCCACAATCTGGGCGCGAACGGGCAAGTGTCATACCTCGTGGGGCCCCCAAGTTCTATGGGTGCTACATCGCCGCGATCATGACGCTGACGGTGATGTGAACGGAAAGGGGCCGGAGGTACAAAATAAGCGCTTTCCTCGAGACGCCACCACACTTTGGGCGCGAACGGACAAGTGTCATACCCCCTGGCGGCTCCCCCGTGGAGTGCCTGAATGCGTTACCTATATCACCGCGACCACGTGCGAGTCTGAGTTTTTGCGGGGCGACTCTGAGTGGGTGTGACAAGGAGTGGGGGAGCGTGGGCATGTCTGAATGCGAGTCTGAGTATGAGTGGATATGAATGTGACAAAGCAATGTGTAAGGAGTCAGTGAGTATCTGTCTACGTGTGCCTACTTCGGCTGAGTAGTCATGGATCTGGGTGTGTGCGCGTGTGTCGTTTGAATATGAACGGGTACGTGTACCAGTGGTTGGGTATGAGTCGGCTTGAACATGACTACGCTGAGTTGGGTATGAGCGTGTCAGGGTGGCTGGTGAGGGGTAAGGGAAGGGCGGAGGTATCACACTAACAAGAAACACCACATCACATTTTATGATGTGACGAATTAGAGGGGCAATAAGGACCAGGGGGCATACAGCAATGAGGGGAGACCGATACCGTGCAAGGCCTTGGTTGTTTTCGTTCACGAGTTGCACGGTGGAGGAGGCGGATGAGGAGGAGAAGGTTCATGAGTAAGAGGAGGAGGAGGAGGAGAAGGAGGAGGAGGAGGAGGAGGTGGAGGAATAGTTGGAGGAGGCGGGGGAGGAAGAGGAGGAGGAGGAGAAGGAGGAGGAGGAGAGCAGTTTAGAAGTGGAGAAGTTTGATGAGGAGGGGGGGGAAGGAGCGGGAGGAGGAGGAGGAGGAGGAGGAGGAGGAGGAGGAGGAGGAGGAGGAGAAGGAAGTGGAGGAGAAAGAGTCGGAGGAGGAGGTGGAGGAGGCGCCATCCCCGCCCCAGGAGTGGCAGGAGGCAGTCGCCGCCCGGGACGTAGCCGTGGCCGAGCGCGACGCGCAGATCCAGAATTGGCAGGACCTCTCTCGCCTCGTCTTTGCCGTCGTCGATCGAGCTTCAAGGATGGAGGATCAAGGATCTCGAAGTCTTGGGCGTCGCCGCCGTGGATCGAGATTCGAGTGAGGTCTTGGACGTCTTGGGCGTCGCCGATCGAGGCCTGAGCATCAATACCGACGATCGAGGTTTTTTGGGCGTCGTGGGCCCTCTTTTGGGGAGGGCCCTCCAAGGCCTGGGGAGCCTTCTCACACCCTCCTCTTTATCGCTTCTCCCTCGCCCTGCATCTCCCATCCTCGCACGTACGGTGGAAGCGTTTGTTAAGGAATAGTCCCAGGAGGCGCCAGACCCTGGAGGATTCCTTATCCAATGAGGGCGGTGGTGATATCCATGGCCGATCCACGATTGGAGTTCCACTGGCTTCCAGACCCCGGATTCCTTATCTAAGGGTTCCTTATTCAATGCCCCCACCGTATTCCTCTGGCCGCCGTGAATACTTTGTCCGCGCCCCCGCATCTCGCAACTTTTCCCCCCCCTCCCCATCCTCGTCGGCGAGTTGGTCTTCCTGCTGGG